AGCAACCCTGTCAGGATGTAGGAAAAGCGTTGAAGCGAGATGACGGGGAAACGCAGAAGCCTAAAAGCCGGCTGCTGCCAGCGAAGATATCCTAACTGTTTCCCTACCACGCCTCTGTTCGCAGCCTCTGTTCCTCGCGAACTTTGCCATTCCGATGCACCCTTAATCCCTTTTCCGTTAGAGCGTCGCAACGAACAAGTTGACGCGTTCACGCCCCTTTGAAACTTCCCACTGGAAACTTTGCCGTTCCGCGCGGCTAGGAGTCATCGCTGATCGGAACGGTATCGAACGGTAAACGAACACATAGGAAACGACCTAACACAGGATCATCGCGAGGTTCGATTAATTTCGTGCGAGTCCGTGAAAAAGACAGAAGCCGCCAATAACGCGGTGTTACAAAGGTAAACGACCTTTTTCAGGTATGTGACCGAGAGAGTACAGAGGGAAGTTACAATCGTAACTCGTCCCCGTGTCGTTTCGTTTGTCCAGTTACGTCCGATGGAATTTTCCACGGTGAAACACAAATTTCCGATGGGGCAACGAAACGCAACATGGAACAACAGGGTAATTGGGGGAGGACCGCATTATTAAAAGTTTCCACGTCGGGCGTGGAGGTGGATCGCCTCCCTCTGTCGCTCGTCCTACGACAGCTCTCCACTTTTCCACGTCGAAACGACGATTATCGCGAGAGCAGCCCCTAATGAGGCAAGCCTCCCTTTAATGACCATTTTCCACGGCAGATGCTGGGATATCGTGACGCGAATCGATCGTGGCCCGTTTCACGTACACCGTGCTCTACGATAGACGAGTAAAAGAAGAGAAACGTGAAAGGCGAGGAGAAAGACGACCAGCAGATGGTCATAGGGCGAAGGGCGCGTGCCTTAGACACCGGCTTTACGATTTCTTCTTCGAAATGTCCACGAGGATAATTAGAGATCCTTCAAATCGATAAAACTGTCTTATACACACACTCCTAGAGACTTCATTTTCTTTTTTTCTAGCGCATATATAGTGAATTATGTATTTTTCTTTATCTGCGTGGAAAACAGACAGGAAAATGCTAAAGGGTTAACAGCCATTACGGAAAATGAAATATCCAGAAGTATATATATAACTGCTTTTTTTTCGTTCGCAAAATATTATTTGCAATTGCAATGGAGTCATTGCGAAAGGAGGTAAACGCCGAGAACTGACACCACAAATACGAGGATCAATCGTTCATTTTAATATTCAATGTTTACACTGACGGCGTATTGTTAGCGCAAATTTCGATCAAACGCGTTTCGATATTTACCCGAAACCATTTTACACACCCTCCTGCCCCTGTGTTTACTTTTTACATAGCGAGTAAGCGAGCGGAAATATTGCACGTTAAACGTGCAACTTTGAACTAAAAAAGATACCTGTGAAACATGCTTTTTCAATATTTTTTTTATCGCGAATGAAAATATTTTAGAACGTAAAAAAGAGATACACTTTTTTACAGTAATTTTATTAAAATGCGGAAGGGTTGAAGCGTAACATCGCGCAACATGATGCAACGAATCTAGTTGCATTCAAAGCTATTGCACCACGTTTCGAGAATTTATGATGCCTTTTTGCAAGCACGATTTTTCCATACGAAAAAATCCTTTCGTTTAGCGATGATCATTGCCCTAGTGACCGTGATAGGCGATACGGGAGCAGTCGAAACCGAATCACGAAATTACCTGAACGTAAATCGAAATCGCAAATACCCCCGCTAATACCCTAATCCCGGTTTATTGGTCCCTCCTCTTTCCCCCTACGGATCTCTCTCTCTCCTCACCATGTGGTCGTCCTGTCTAGCCGCGTACGTTTCACGTATTGAAAGCTGGAGCGAGCGAGTAGGATGAAAAAGCGGACGACGACAATCGGAAAATTGTGCCATCTGGCCGAAGGCTGCATTCACACCGAACAATGTCCGCATTATCTGTTCTCAGCAGCGGTGGAAGAGGCATGACGCGGCAAACGCTCGGGCACACTGGACAAATCGACTAGTCATCGAATGACTGCGCCTCCGCAGACAAAAATCCGCTCTTTCCCTGCTAGTTGCCCGATCAAAATTCCAGAGAAGAGAATTTTTCCGAATTCCCGCGACGAATTCTCTGCTCGTCAGTTAATTCGGATAAAAAGTACACAATATAAAACAATTCTTACATCATAGTTCAAAATTCTTTACGATTATTCAACAATCAAAATGTGATTTTAATAGAAAAAGACAAAGATCCGCTCTTTCCCTGATAGTTTTCCGATAAAAATTCCAGAGAAGAGAATTTTCGCGAATTCTACGCCCACGAATATAAAAGGAAAAATAGAACGATCTAAACAATTCTTACATCCTATTTCCCTATGGGGAAATAAAATTCTTTACGATTATATAACACTCGAAAGGTGACATTAGCGAAAAACAGGATTGCAAATGAGTGACGTCAATAGATCGTATTTGTTCAATAGAAACATTGTAGACAGATTGCTAATGATTTTTTTCTTCGAAAGGAAACGATTTCTTTACCGCATGCAAAAAATTTTTCGATAAAAAAGAAGATTCGGTAAGGAGTTAATACATGTTGTTCACACCGCAACGTTCGGTCCGCTTTCGACAAGCCCGTGTCGTCGTCAACGAGTTAGTTGGTCGTCTAGACTCGTTGCAGACGTGACCTAAGGTGCGGATTAATTTTAGCAGTATTTTGTTTCGGCCGTCTCGCGTTGTACAGTCGGCCGAAACCCATTGGCTCCTCTTCGTTCGCGACTCCACGGTATTTCAGAATATTTCGCACGTGCGTGTGACGTGCTGCCTTCGAGGAAAAGTATCCGTGGCGCCAAAAGTATCAGCGTTTCCGTACTTTCCGCGAATATCTATTCCTCGTTGATCATCGTTCCTCATAGAGGGAAAAACAATAAATAAATTCCGCGAATTCGTTTAATAACTAAACGTCATCAGCGTATTATTTAAAAGTTCGATAATTAGTATAGTCGTCAAGGAGGCGTTTCGTTAAATTTGAAATCAACGACGTCCCATATGCGTCATACACTAGTGTGTAATAAATTATATATTACGTATATTTTGCAAAGATAATTGATATTATGAGGAAAAAAAAAGATATTCCGAGTCGTACATGAATTTCCGCGAGCACGTTGTCCCCGGTAGCAGGTAATCGGAAACCATGCGACAACGTGCGCGGTTACGAAACACGCCTTTAATTACATGGTCTGGGTGCTCTTGGCACCTGTGAAAAGGCCAAGCAGTCCACCAAGGAAACACTTTACGAGCCTCCGACCAGCCGTGTTTCGATTTTCATCCACGAAACACCGTATGTAAACCGTTCGCTATCGCGAAAACAAAATTCAATCGATAATATCAATTTGCAAATTGCTCGTTTCTTATCCGAACATAATTCCCTCCGTAATCTCTCGAACGATATAAAAAGAATCATAAAATACCAAGAGCCATCGTGTCCATAAAACGTTCGGTTAAATTTTGTAATACGGTCTATTTAACTTATAGGTGTACTCGATGTACGGTCCAAAGTTCGCTCATCCAAAACGTACGCGTGAAAAAGAGCGACAGAGAGAGAGAGAGAGAGAGAGAGAGAGAGAGAGAGAGAGAGAAGGAGATCGTAAAAGAACAGAAGCAGAAGGGAAGAAGCAAGGGAACGCGAGAAAGGAGAGAGAAGCGAATGACGTTGACCTCAAACGAGGCGCCCGGCAGTTGGACGGTGCAGGAAGGGAGGACGCGACGCCGCGCGCCGCGACGCTGACGCACCGTGTATATTTGGCTAGGGTCCGCCACGTCCGATCGTGGTACTTCTTTCCGCGGTGGGTAATCTCCACTGACTCGATATCCTCGACGAATTGATGATCGAAAAATGTCCTTTCTTAATTAAAACACTACCTAACGAGATTCTAAAGTGTTAACGACGTTAAAATGACAAAGATTGAAAAGTTTCAGCAAATTCAACCAGTCGGCGACCCATTTGTCCCGACTAAATACATTAATTCCTACCTAATGAATGCAATTTTGTTTTTTCTTTTTCTACCGGTGCACCAGGGGAGGAAGTTCAGGTAGCAAACAGAGTGAAGTAGATGTAAAATTGTAGGGGAGGGAAAGAAAAAGGGGATGCGAAATGTGTCTCGGTGGCGAAAGTTCGGGGCAACTAGATAGAAGAAAGTCGAGGAGGAAGGGTTGGTAAGCAAACGCGAGGATTCGTTGTAACCAGAAGAAACAGCGAACGTCGACTACCGGCGCTTCGAGAATTTATGGACGGGTCTTTTCTGTCTTTATCTATCTGGCCGGGTAGGACGCATCCGGCCGGTGCTCAGAAAAAGCGAAACCTGCACGAGAGGACTTCGACGTTACATTGTGTCGTATCCCGTCGATGCGCACCGCAAAAGATTTCCTTTTTTCACCGTATGGAAATGAGCAGGCATTTCTTTCATCGCGAGCTTATTCAATGTCTGCTTACGCGTACGTCATACACTTTCCTCCCTTTCTTCTATCTTCTTCCCGATCCGCTGCTTGAACGTTTCAACAATTTCCCTCGTATTTCCCCCGTTAAACATCGTTTCTTTCATTTCTCCGAGAGACGTCGAGTGTGCTTCAAAGAACTAGACGCGGTTACTGCAGGAATTTCCTGGAAATTCGTCGCGTCTCGAGTATTTCAATAATATCCGAACGGAAAGTGTGGAAATTTGGAAACGTTTTCGGGGAACGTAATTGCGTTCACGAATGTGAAATAATAAAATCAAGATTTCGCTATGTTATTAACCCCGTTGAAAAGATTTTTTTCTCTCATGTATTTATCGATTTTCCTGAAAAATCTCTTTTCCATGCAAGCTTTGATATCGTTCCTTTTCTGCTTCTGTCATACGGTCACACTCTTGAATTTTTCCGTATACATGCGGGGGAGAGAGCAAGCAAAGCGGAACCGACACTTTCTTCGGGAAGTAAGGGTGAAATAAAGGAAATGAGCGACACTCACCGTGTGAAGTTCGTGTCCGACGTTACGTACGGTTGCAATTTCAGAAGCAACTCGTCCCTTCCAGCTTCGTCGCCGCTTCCTCCGACACTGCAAATACCGGTCCCAGAGGCGTTAGGACTCAAATTATAATCGACATCGTCTTCGTCGACTTCATCGATCTCCATTGCTACGCACACGAAAACAAAATATTCTAGTTTATTCAAAAAGAAAAGAAAGAGAAATATACTTTACAGCGAAAATAGGAACGTGTATAGCACGGTACACTATAATTGCAATAAATATTAATTAAATTTGTTATCTGTAACAAAGGACTATGTTTAGGACTGTGTTAATCGTTTCAAAGAGATGATTTGCTCGAACTCGACCGGTTCATCGCAGCAAACACGTTTCCCTCTGTTTCAATCCGGACAATTTTCCCCGTATCTTCAGCATCGAGCTCAGAAGAAGGTTCCCGGAGTTTAACTAGCGTGTCCGTAACGACTCGTGACAAGAGTAAGAAGGAAGTTCAAAGCAAAGGCTTTAAACGAAGCAGTTCCTGCTCCTAAGTCTACGTCTCTCCTTTCGCCTAGCTCCGTCTGTCTAGATATTCTTCTATTTTCCTCTCGGTACTCTCATATTCCGGCTAAACACGAATTTCCCTCGATTCCGCTATTTTCCTCGCTTTGTCCGCGTTATTTCGTCCTCGAGGGAAACTCGTTGAATTTCATTTTACAAGGAAGGGAAAGAAGCAAAGAGTGGAAAAAAATCGGTTTTCTTGCGAGCAACACTCGAGAGCTTGTGCGCGCTTGTGGTTAGTAGGAAAATCATTTTCCGCGACGTTATCCTCCTTGAACAGTCCGTAAAGAATTATTTTAATATCTTCTTCCATTTTGACGGAACAGAAATTAATTTTTTTTTTCGCTATTTTTACGCTTCTCGGGGTTTGAAAAAAAAATTAGCTCAATATGCATCGCAGACTTTCTTCTAGAGATTTTTCTCAGCACCCTCGGTCGGTATGAAAGGGGGAGGAGTTGAAGAAATCGAAGGAAAAGATTCTCTCTCGATGTCGGCCATTCCTGCGGCGCTACAGAAGAGGACCGAGTGAAAAAGTGCGAAAGAGGAAGAAAGCAGCGTGTGGACGAAGAAAGCGTAGAAATGGATGAGGAGAGGGTGGAAAAGCGTGGAAAGGGGGCAACGTACAGGGTGTTTTATCAAACGTGTTACAAGCTGATATCTACGAACCCATCAATGGTATCAGAAAAAAAAATGAAATTTTAAAAAATCATCTCGGTATTAACCCTTTGCCCTATAATATCGAGCCACACTCGTAATGCAAATTACACTTCAAATGTGTGAGTTTAATTCTAATTCTAATTATCCCAATCAAGGACAGTTCAATTTTCTTTATTTGTTTTAAAATTCAAGCAAAGAGTAGTTGGCTCTGTCTGACGCGAGTATCGAAAAAATCAGAGGAGTAGAAGGGGTTAAATTGTAATAGGTTTGCTGAAACAGGCTGTATATCGATCTCTAGAAAGGAGACTTCCGTCTGTCCGATTGTAGGTTCTCTTTTATCGCAACGCTCGATCGGATCGACCGTTCCGCCGTCGAGCCCTTCTATCTGAAACAAGCAGAGCCACCCTGCTCGAGACCACCCTTTCTCGCCGTCCGGCCTACTACAACCCCCTCTATCGGCCTGCCGGCATCGTCGTGTGGGAGGAGGATAGAGGGTTGGGTAGCCAGAAACTCATTTGAATCACGTGCAACGACGAGTCAAGTGCAGCCGTACTACGCGCGTTACGCCGACGTATATACGCGCCCTACTACTACCTAGTTACCGACGACGATTTCCTTTTTTTTTTTTTCCTCTGCCGTTCTCTCGTCTCCACCCTCTTTCATGCGACGACTCGCGATTACTCGTGCCGTTTATCGATTCCGACGTCCGTAACCGTGTCGTCCCGCGTTCCATGCCCAATCTCAACACACATCATCGATTCTTTTTTTCTTTTGCTTTCTCTCATCGCGACCAGTTACCCCTCTTCTTTCTCCCTTTATAGACAACCTCTTTGCGCGTCTTTCTTCTCTTCGACGGCGAACGACGACACCGCGTGTGTCTTTGGTCGACGAAATTTCTCTCTAATGTACACACGATCGTGCGTTCGTTCGTAATGGATACCAGGATTGGGCGGCAAACGGCGACGAGCACGATTACTAGGGGTGCCGTGTGGCTGCCACGGGGATGAAATGGAAGGAATGGGAGGAGAAAGGATAGAGAGAGTGAAAAGGGAGGAGAGAAACAGAGAGAGTGTGGAGAGAGCAGAGGGGCGTGGCAAGATGAATGATCGCAAGACGCGGGAGTATTGATCCCGGGGACTGTACTCTGAACTGTTTCTCTCTTTCTCTCTTCGGCATATATACGCGCGGCGTCCTCCCTTTTCCCGTCCTCTCCACCGTCGTTCTCCTCCGTTGCTCGTTCTATCTCTCTTTTCTTCTCTTTCTCTGTCGGAGCTTCGCACCCCTGTGTACCGGGTGGCGCGCCGGTTGGGTTCAGGGTCATGCGTGCACCCCTTTCGCCCGTGTGTCGGCTCCTTCCTTCCTTCCTTCCTTCCTTCCTTCCTTCAACCGGAGGGAGAGCTTGCTCCCGTCTGGATCGAAGTCGAAGAACCCGGAGAGGAGATCCTTCTCTTTCTCTATCGCTCTATCTCTCTCATTCTCACCCCGATACAAGCAAACGGTCGCCGACCAGTTCCACACCACTGTGAGAGAGATCAACGACATTTTCGGCGGCCAACGGTACAACCCCCGTGTCCCGACAGAAAGGATAAATCCTGATCTTTTCGACGTCGTATAATGAACCTGTCCTCCTCGTCGCTCGCTAACGTTCAACCGAGGACGCGACTCCCTCCATGTGGGAATGATCCTTATACAATTATATATACCGACAACGTTTTCGAATCGTGTAGCCCGGCTGCGACAGGCACCGGCCACGATGAAAACCTGTATCGTTTATCGTGACGGCGCCGAACAACGTCTGGGAAACCGAGCATCGTTACGAAGCCGGTAATCTAGTATTTGCAGGAAATTACAAGCGCCTCTGAGAACGTTCAACCGTGGAAATACGCTAACCTTTAACCCGTTCGCTATCCTCGCGTCGAACGTGTAACCGCCCCCCAGTAAAGGTCCGTTTATGCCTGATCTATACTACTGATTCGTTCATCTGCATCGGATAGCACTCCTTTTCGCGGGATCGATTAACAGGTACTAAAATGAAGCACGACTAAAATGGTAGAAGAGGGACAGTTCAACATACGTGACAGTCCCTCGAAAAGTAATTACTAGTTTCTCTTGTTCTTCGCGTTTAATATGACGGAACGACTGTTTGAAATAACAGTCGGTCGACACTTTTCTAAAAAAAAAAAAAAAGGCTGCTCGGGATTAAAATGCTCTTTCACGGTCGTTAACGTCCGTTCCGCGGACTTTTGTTACACTCTGTACGAACTTCTAATTATACTCGGTCGAGATATGCCACGCTCGTGAATTCGTAGCCGAGTAAAAGCACGGAAGGTGAAGGTTGGGGTATTCGTGCAATTTTTGGAAATTTGCTTATTAATCAACGACAGATTTAACGTGTCCGACGTGTAAATCTATTCATTGCACGAAATGTGGTAATCATCCCTTGCGCTATTAAAAAATTTTTTTTAATAATTCTACCAATTCCGCGAACGCAATTAATCGAAAACTGGAGCCCCTCGAAAGGCGAGCAACATTGTAGATAATTAGCAGCAATTTCTGTCCATGGCAGACCCAAGAGGCGTGTAATTAAGAAGGTATCGCGGTGTGTGCACGCGCTCGCGCGCGTGTGTATGTTCACCTTCCGTTATAAGCATCGCATGAAACGTGATGGCAGAGTTGCCCCAATAACAGGTGGCGCGACAACTGACGTAATGATAGGTTTACGAGTAGAAGCAATTGGAAAGCGAAAGTTTTCTCGTTTGAAATTTTCCACGCTATTTGCGTTGATGCGCACCTTCGTGTACAACCGGAAGACTAATATTCGAATCGATCGTTTTTCGCGAAAGTGCATCTTTACACTTACCCTATTCATCGAACTATCGTTTATGATTTATAATTTACGCGATGTGTAAGGTAAACTTCAAAGCTACGGAACGCCTTCCGAGCCACTCACCGTAAGATGTACTTAATCATTACAACGCTACGAACTCACCTACGGGTCTGATATTATCGTATCTCGTACGTTAATAGATAAAAACACAGGCAACAAAATGTTTTTGCATTCCATGCTTTGTAAACATTTGTTTTATCGGAGCTTTTCTTTAATGTCGATTACACTGCTCAACGAATTTTCAATTATTTTCCTTTCTTTTTTTTTTTGGACCAACATTCAACAGGTACTTATTGATTTTTGTGCACTGAATGGGAATCTGTAAACCGTTTTTTTCAACGGGTAAACTCTGCGAATTAAAAAGAGATTTAATGAATTTTGAATGGCCTTATCGAGTTATCTCAGCGCTGAAAAGGTTAAAGCACGTTTGACCGAACGCAGTCCCGTTCACACCGATTCATATCAAACATTAAATATTAATTCTTAACCGCAAAGAAAATACACCGTTATCGTTCATTTCATTAAGGACATCGTGGGACAGCCGGAATTCACACGATAAATAAAAAAAGAAGATACAAAGTCTCACACGTAAGGGAGATTACGTGAAAGGAACCAACAACAAAGAAGTTAATGAAGTGGGTTATCGTTACACGTTGTTATTAATGTCCGTACACGTTGAATAAACATCAATTACGGACACTTATTATCACATTATTACGGAATACTTGACTTTGAATCGGTCAGGTGATAAAGTACAAAAAAAAAAGAAAGAAAACGTAAGGACTTTGTAGGCACACGCGAAAGAGTTGTTACTAATTACCACTAATTATCTGGAAACGAGGCTACTACGTTGATATTCGTGTACGGTTATCGATGCTGGATGACGTCAAACCGCGTTACTTTCCCACGATTCCCGATGGATGTTCCTGATCGGATAATCGAATTTCGCGGTGACGTCGACGAGCGATGAGAATAGGCGGTCGAAAGACGACCATCTCTATTTCGAAGACACCTTTCGATGAATATTTACACGATTACTTTCGGAGCTGACGGGTAGAGAGCCGGCGAGATGTGGGGCAAATGCGATCAATGCCGTGTAACCTCGATACATCGATGCAATTATATAACGTTTATTTTCCGTGCTCGTTAAAATAACGTGACCATTAACGATCACGTGCCGTTGGCAAAACATTGAACGAGAATTAGAGTAAAAAACCTCTACGGTTCTTCCGAACACGGAGCCTTTGAAAAAGATGACCCACTTAACCCTTGTATTAATAACCGAAGTGTTCGTGGTTGTTTCGTAACAGTTTTAATAAATTCAAACGATCGATTCGCGATCGAAATCCATCGGGATATCGGAGGAAAAACGATCGAGGGAAGGATAACATCCGACACGCGCGTTTGGACCACCTACGATAATTTATACGAGCTACGAGAATAACCATCGGGTTCCGCGTTTACATCGCGGTGTAATTACGGCTTTTGCAGATATAACGATCAGCTTGTAACAGTAGAATCAAAGCTTCGTGGAGCCACAGAAGCGGGATAAACAGCGGAAAAGGTCAAAAGGGTATACAAGCCCGTGCATCTCGTATTTGCTGTGATTAAAGGAAAGGGAGATGGAAAAAATAAAGAGGAAAGATGGAAGGAGAGAATAAAGAAACGTTCTAATTTAGCGCCAACAGTTTCACGTTATTCGCGCGTCTAACCAGACTGCAATTAGCTTGAATTTCTTAGCAAAGCAAGCTTCCCATCATCGAGCCTTGTGACCACGAAAGATTTCACAGCGGCTCCACTTTTCCCTCCTCGAAACTTTTCTTTTATTTTTCCAACAAGTTCCCGCAAAAAACCAACCACCGAGAGGAGGGTGCCGTTTCAACGGGAACACGCAATTAACAGAGAGAGAGAGAGGGGACAGAGGAATACTTTTCTTCGCGGTGCCTCTTCTCGGGCGCACGGTTTCTCGCGTAATATTTTTCATGCGATGCGAGACCAAGGACGAGCAGAAGGGAATAAAGAAAAAGAAAATGGGAGAAAAGTCGTGGGTCTCTCAGATAGATCAATAATAAACCATTAGGAGCTTCTTTTTATCGCCGGCTTTAAAAGCGATTGACTGAAGCAAATCATTAAGCTAATTATTAAAAAAAAAAAAAAAAAGAAAGAAAAATTATAAAGACAGAGGATGATAATCGTGGGATTCTTCTGGTAAATTAACCGATCCGATTCGAAAGGAGAATAATCGACAGGTTTCTACCTTTCGCCACACCTAAATACCAGGAGCCACGAAATAACTCATTCTGTTCGGTGGGTGACTGATTGTTTGACCCCTTTCCGGCACGTTTTATATCGATTTTCCTCTGTTTCGTCCTCCCGGCCCTTTTTCACCCCCTCGTGTTCCCTCGGTGCTCGCACCCGAAGGCGTTTCATTAGCCGCGACGAGAACATTTGTTTTTGTCGATGTTTCGCGGCAGCTTGTCGCTTTTTATTTTTCTTTCTCCTCTCCTTAGCTAACCCTCCGAGCCTGACCGCCCCGAACCCTTTCAACCCCTCGCCGATCCATTCTGACGGGAGAAAAAGCGGCAATGGGCACAAGAACTTTCGACTACTTACGCAATTAACGAAGCGCCGGGGCGGAGAGCTTTTGTTTATCGTAATTTTACTATTACCCGTTCGAGTAAGCAGATATTGTGCGACCGTAACTTGATACGTCGTTAAAACAGAAACGTTTGGTACACGGAAATTGAAATTGGGAACACGTTCGATTAAGATGATTTTCCAGTTATGTAATTCAAATCGTTTCACGTTGGGATATTGGTTAAAGATCGATCGAACGATCTTACCTTGAGGATGGTTCGAGGAAATCCAACGATCTCTTCCTGTATCCACGTGATTCCAGGCGTTGTCACTACAAACATCGTTGCGACAGTTTCGAGAGATCAATCAAACAAATCGCGCACTCACACGTTATATTCGCCGAGAACAATCACAATAAAGAATCCCGAGAATCACAGGAACGTTTGAATTTTCGTGGTATGCTCTTGGGCTTGTCACGAGTCACGATTACCAGTTGCAATTCGCTTTGATTACCGCGCTTCTTCTCGTCATTTCTACGCTTGATTTCGTCTCTTGTTCGTTTAATACGAGAGAATTTTCAACCGCGTTTACGAACGTTGGAAAATGGTTACTGACCGGCGAGATGGATCCTTACGCCGGCATTTTACGACATCCTTCGGGCGAAACGGCCATGCGTGGCCGGCGAGGATCCTCGCCACCTTTTCCGTGTTTTAGCCCGCATTACGATGCCATTTTTTGCCACGTCGTACGATTCAACGAACCGCCACGTTTCCCTGTCCATTCTCGTTCAATGAGAACATACGTAACGATGACAGAAATATTCTTCGAAAGACAAGAAACCGTCCCTTTCACATGTTTCGGATGAGACAAGGAACACACATGTTAACGTCGATTCGACGGCATCGACGACGGAATGAACACAAATTGAAGATCACACATGTCCTATCTCGCAAGTCCACGTCCGAAAGTAGAATCGTGTCACTTGATTATCACTCATCCACCAGATAAAACGGAGAAACTCGCGAGCGATGCGGTACGCGACATGCCGGCAGAGACGCGACGCTCCGAAAGGACGTTCCAAAGGACGCAGCATCCTTGGTCGCGTTCTCCACCGCCCCCCGGTGAAGAAAAAAAAAGGGGCGCCGCAGCGGGAACGCCTTGGCGATTTTCTCGATCGTTTCGCGTACGACGAGCGACACTTTCCGGACTGCGGGACGACGTCGATCCCGTGGGTGCGAGAGAAAGAAAAATAAAGAAAGAAAAGAAAAGAAAAGAAAACCAGAGCAACGGGGAACGGACGAAAAGTTTAACGCCATGAACGCGACTCGTCGACTGATAAATCCGCATTTAGTGTGGCGGCCTCACGTACACGCCGGGTTCTTGCCGGCTCCACCAAAGGCATGATTGGTCTGCGTGTCGGTGCCCCCCACCGCCCCCTCCGCCTCGTCCGCCACCCCCCAGGGGCGGACTACGAAGCGAGAGCGCCGTCGCCGACCTTCCTAAAACGACGGGGGCGCCACCGCGCGGCACCGACGCCGACGCCGACGCCGACGCCCGCCACCGATCGATAGTCGGCGACCGTCGACGAGGACAACGAGGACGACGACGCCGTCGACCACCACGACGATACGCCGCGACGCGACTAACTCTCTCTTCTACTACCTTGCCGTCTCGTTAATCGTCCTCCTCCTTTTTTCCCGTCTCCACTTTCAACCCGTACTACGGACGACCATTCGCTCGATCGGCCACCCGAGCCACACCGATTCACTACGGATCGACGGAATCGTTTGTTGACTCCGATTCTCTTTCTCCGTTTCACTGCCTTTGTTCTACGGTACATCAGCCGCGGCAAGGTCACTTAGAGACGTCAAACGGAACGTTTAAATTAACCCGATCGTCGATTTACGACGCGACGATGAAAATACCGAATGACTATGCCGGGACGAATGTATCGGGAAGCAGACGAGAGGAGGTAAACAATTTTAGACCCAAGAGTCTTTCGATCTATATTTCCTACCTTTACGACCACGCCTTCGACACAGTGCTCGCGATTCCACCGAGAATCATCGAGCGGCCGGTTACGAGGCGCAACTTGAAATACGCGAAACAGGGCCGTCATTAAACAAATTTATATTAGATAAATTCTATTTTTACTCTAATAGATAACGTTTGCAAACGATACAATGATATATATTTTTGCATCGAACATCACAAACGAACTCCTTGTATTTTGCTTCAGTATTCTCCTTTAGGAGCAGAGTCAAAACGATCCAGCGATCGAGCGTCTCGAGCGTGGACTCCGTTTGCAGCCCGATAAGGGTGGAGACGCTCGCTTCCTCCTCGTACTAGCTAGCGTACGCATCGTGCGTAATGCGAACCGGATGGAGAGGCAGCGGAGGGGCCCAAGAAGAGTGAACGAGAGTGAAGAGAGAGAAAAAAAAAGAAGTTGTGAAGGAGGTACGGAGTGTGTTCAGGCTAGGAAAGGAAAAAGGGAGTCGTGTAGACGGCTGGGATGGGGAAGAAAAGAGAGGAACAGATGTGGAGCAACGATGTTAACCGTTGACGGAGGCGAGAAGGGAGGATACGGTAAGAACGGGCAGGGAATCGTGAGCGAGAAAGAGAAAGGAAGATAGGCTGGCAGATAAGAAAAGTCATCACGGTCAGTGCGCGCGCCGCGCCACGCCACACCGTCATTCATTGATTGCATCGTGGCGTGCGGTCTGCCGTGGCGAACGTACGTTTTACGTCGTTAATGTGGCACCGGATGAAAGGAGAGAAAGGGAGAAGAAACGGACGAATATAGAAGCGAGGGGAAGCGGAGAAAACTACGAGCAACGCTTTGTCGGCCTTTATACCGTGTGTTCGGCTTTCTCCTTAATTTTCTCGTTGTCTCGCGATTAAAAGCCGCGGTTAACGCGGTCCTTGCCTACGGAGTCGTCACTGATCGGTATTAGAAATTTAAAAAATTGCAATCAAAAAACACCGATCGCTATCTTAGGATTAACCCTTTGGGTTCCCTTCTTAAGTTCGCACAGAGTATTATTAATTTAAAATAATTTAAAATCTTTATTGTCTACACTTAGCAGAGGATTAATAAAAAAGTGGAAATTCAAGAGATCAAAGTTCAGGAATCTCACACACGTCCATTTCCACCAGCTGATTAAATATCATTGATAAATTTATCACTGATAATATTGCGAGCCGGTTGCATAAATCGACCTTTAGCAGGGTGAAAGAGAAGTTGGTTAGGTCGTTCGAACAGAAAAATCGATGCACGTAGAGTAGAAAAGCAAAAGGGAAAAGCTCGAGATAAGTCATCACGGTCACCAGCACGGCAACGTCACGGCACGCAGTCAGTCATTCATTGATTGTATCATAGAATAGCGAGCGTACGCGGCGCCAGTGCCGTAACATGACGTACACGTTAACTCGCGTGGCGTCATGAACGCTGCACCGAGGGGGGAAAAAAGAAGAGTACGAAATACCTGGTGCACACCATCGTACCGATAATTATCCGATGAGGAGCTGAATATACAAGTCAAAAGATACTGCAAAATTTTAAGTGCAAGATGATCGAATCGTCGAGGTCTGGGTCACGGATGACCCGGATTCGCCATTCCATGGTTAATCTAATCACGCGTATCGCGACGACGTGTACCTTTTGAAATGTACAAATTTTGCATCCTATCTTTCCCTCCATTTTAAACAGATAAATCGACGCGAAAGATATTTCGTACCGAGAATATCGGTGACGATAAAAGGGGTCTCGATTATGGCAGAAAAATAAGACGTACAAAGTTCTCCAATACGTTCGATACCGAGGACTTAATTCATTGATTTGTTACTTTCGTATAATATTCCTACAATTCGAGCGTCGATTGTGTACGAAGAAAATAATTTGCAACTGCAAAGGGCGCAGTAAAATGTTATATATACGCAAGTTTCGGTATTAATGGGTTAACAACGCCTTGATAGAGCTCGTCGAGCGTTCAACCGTCAGAACGTAAAGGCAAGGAATGAGAAACAGAGAAAGAGACAGGCGACAGAGGATAGAGTAGGAGAGAAGTAGGTCTAATTAAGAGACGTAAGTTTATTAAACTCCGGGCTTAAAATAGCGGGCGACACACTGCCCAGGAATGTAAGGACAGTCCGGTTTTATTGTCGGTCGAGCTCCAAGATTAATTCGCAACTGACTTTTCTAGCAAGATCGTCTGAAAACGTTCGTGCCGTTTCGAAAAATCGACTCTCTTCTCAACGATCGCGCGGAAAATACTATACCTTTCCTGGTTTCCAGGAAATTCTGTTCTCCGGAATCGAAATCGGAACAGGACGCGATCGATCGATCGCGTAAAAATTATCTGGCGAGCGAGCGCGGGGAGAAAAAAAGAAGGAAGTGGAAGATCGATCGATTACCGGTAGCTTCTGAAATTTAGGTTAACCGAAGGACCACGAGAAAAGACGAGTACGAGAAATGGTACGCGATAAAAACGGCACGCTGGATGGATATTCCTGAGAAGCTTTTCTATTATTCAGAAAGGTGTACTAGTTCCTCGGCGAGTAGATATTTTGGAGAACCGGGTCAGAAATCTTCGGAAGGTCACTAGGAGTTTCAATTAATAATCTTACTTCTTGATCAAGAATGACACCCAATTTTCATCCGCAAGAATTACACCCACGATCCTAAAAATAACGTGACATTTCAAAACGACCCGACACTTTCGAAATTCTAACAAATCCGGTTAATTGCGTTCCCTTATCCCCCGCACATAATTAGTAAAATTGTTCAGAAGCGGATAAACGAGATTGTCGAGCAGAAGATGGGTGGCAGTTTACTGCAGAGATTCACGAGTCGCTCAAAGCGCGGATGACGCGACAGTCAAAGTGATAACGTAGTTTCCGCTTAATTGGAAGTCCCGTACTTCCGCAACGTAGCTAGCCAAAAAAAAAAAAAAAAAAAAAAAAAAAAGAATGGGGGAGGGTGGAAAAAAAAAGAGAAGATTGGACGACGGTTATCTATCCGAGGCTAGAGACGCGTAATTCATAGGGGCGAGTGCAGGCGTCGGTTTTCCAGCATCGCGCGAGCAACGCCGAAGATACAAACACCGACCACGAGGGTCAGGATTAAATATAACCGTGGCTCGAGCTATTTATAAAGATTAACTTGTTGGCGAGATAACGAAGGAGGAGATGGAGACAACGGCGTTAAATTGTCGCAACAATAGCGCGGGAACCGGCACATTCCAGCGACGACAAATTTCTCGTACCGCTTCGAGCTTTGACCTCGATATCCTCGTCGTACCATTCTCTCGTCGCTTGACACCGCGTTAAATCGGACGTAGGAAAGCTTTAAAAATACATGAAATGACGTACCGGCTCGTACACCGACCGAGATGGGATTCGTTTTCTCCATCGTTCGTTCCTCTAGTTACCCCCGCGATCGCGTAATTGCTTTTCACCGACGAAAACGGGTCGAACGGTGTTTTAATTAAAAATTCCTTCGATCGTACGATTTTTCAACGATCTATCGGCCCGTTTCGAAATTCCGTCGCAATTTCGCGAAACGGCAAAAAGCATGAAGAGAATGACCGTATAAAATCCTTTCCCGATATTCTAAATATTGCCGCAGTCACAGGTTACACCTACTCCTCGTCTACTAGACACGATTCCCTTCGAGAAGATTGGAATCCGACAACCCGTGGAATTTTATTTACACTACACACCCACGTGTGGAATGCATACACGGGCGACGCACAAAACGACACGTGCCTTAAAAAAGAGAGGCGAAGAATGCGAGGCTCGTCCATTGAGCAGCTTAGTTTCCACATTTACACGGGCTGCCTAATCGGACGACCGGCTCGGAAACGAGAGAACCGAGACAAAAGGCGGACTCGTGCTGGTCCCCCCCGCGTATTCCTTAAGAAGAAAACATTGCACCAAAGAATGACGAGGAGAAAGGTGTTACGACATCGTTGCATCGTTATCTCACAACTCTCCTTCCTTTCGTTCAACCCCCTAAAAGGTTACCTGATAACGCACCAGCTGTACTACTCGCACGTTGCGTTTATGCCAACCGTCGATTCTCCTCGGGGCCGGCGTTTGATTAATGGGATCGTCGAACCGTTTTCTGAATAAACTCCCCGTTATCGAGACGCGTTATCGCCGCTACTCGAGCCGTTCGGCTCGTCTCTCGGTCGACGGGCGATTTTCTTTCTCCAGCACGCTCGTTCGATAGCGAAATCGGATGTATCGTAGCCGTACGTGAGCTATCAAAAGTCACGTATACGGTAATAATTACACCGGGTATCAGGATAACCCGAGACACGAACCGCGATATTAGAAAACGCAACGAGAAA